AGCCCCCCCCCCCCCCCCTGCCCCCACCCCTTCGGGGGACCCCAGCACCAGCTCCCGCCTCCGGCACAGCCCGTGCCACCGCCGCGGCAACGCACCACGACGCACCAGGCACTTCTTAGAAACATCATGATTTATTGACTTGTACAACTGCCACTGCGGCGGCAGCTTCCTGCTCAGATGGTGGTGGTTGTTTTACTTTTCCATTTTTCTTCTAAGGTACTTTAAAAATGGGAGGGAAAAAAAAGATTAAATGCATTTATGGAACTGAAACTATGCTCAAATTTGGGACAAGAGGGCCCCATTCACCCGTGAACGGCACAAGCTGCAGTAAGTGACACGGCCCCACGACAGGGCGGTGCCGCAGGCCGGCCCTGCCGCCACCGGGCGTGAGGGCGGCCGCTCCGCAGCAGGGACGCAGCCCTGCGCCATGGGGAAGGAGGGGGCAGCGCCGGCGCTTCGCAGGCCGTGCAGTGGGGCTGGCGCTGTGGCACCTGCTGCCTCCCCATTTAGGGCCTACAGGTTTGGCCCGGAGCACCCTGGAAAACTGCCCTCTGATGGCAGGGGCTGGCTGGTGGTGTCGTCACGTAAAGCTGAGCGGACAGCGAGGTCAGTAACAGGCAGCGAGGAAAACTAACGCAATGCTAAAGCGCTGGCTTCAAGCTCGCACGTTAATAATTACTGCCGAAACTATAGGAGGAGATGTGACCGGGGCGCGCGGATGGGCTGGCTGGGACACGTTCTGGACACCGTGCGGCGCGTGGCGGCGAGGAAAGCAAGCTCTGACACAGCGGGGAGCAGCGCGAGCGGCCGCGCACACGGCCGCAATGGCACCCAGGAGAGCTGCGCTCCCACCGCCACCCGCGCGGCCAGCGGGACAGAGCCTCTCGCACGGAGAAACTCCGGAAACGCCGCGCCAGGAGCCACAGCAGCCCCCTGGCTCACACGGGAGGGATCTGCGTCCCCGAAACAGACGGTCAAGGGCAGCAACCCAGCAGCAGAAGGAGGATTTGGATGGATCATTTTGTCTCCTGCAGGGCCTAGCACATCCCTCCCTGCTTCACAGTGAATGTAACAAAGGGCAGAAACCGTTCACAGGACACTGTTCAAATGAAAACCAAATGAAACACATGATGGGAAAAGAGAAACATGCAGCGTCCCCGACTGTAACGGGAGCAGCATGACAGCGCAGGCGCACAATCTGGAGCTGAACGCACCGCCCAGGCAGAATCCACTGGCTTTTTGAACCGTCTGCAAAACTGAAAACAAGGGTCTCCTCCTGATTAGTGTTAATTTGCTAAGAGTTTCTGGACACTTTCAAAATGTGCCTTTGCAAGAATCACACCCCCCCAACCCATCACCCCAAGGGCCCCAACAAAGGAATCCACTCCTGATCGCAGCTAGAGTCATGGTTTGTCTGCAGAGATGCTTTGCTTTTTCCTTCTTATTCCTCTTCCTCTTCCTCCTCCTCCTCCTCTTCTTCCTCTTCTTCCTCATCATCATCTTCATCATGGCAATGCGTGATTTCCTGAGGTGCCTGAGGGAAGAGATTGGGCGGTTTGATCTCGCTGATGGAGCGGGTGAGCTGGTGCCGTTTGTAGTCAGAATCCTTAAAATCCACAGAGCTGCGGTTGCGGGTGGCCATGGGTGACTCCTTCTCGTTGATGTCAACGTGCGTGTGCTCTACCGTGGACTCGTGTGGCATCTACGAGAGACAGAGGAGATGGAAGGGGGTGTCTCTGTCCTGGGGTATTTCCCTGAGCAGCCAGAGCCCAAGCCTGCGGGGCCTCGAACACCCCAATTTGCTGCCCGCCCTCCCCGGTGCCATCGCTGCTGCCTCTCGCCTGGGGAAGCTCTGCCACAGGGGAGTGGAGGCACCTGCGGGTCCCTGCCTGCGTCCCCACAGTCTGTAACTCACCAGGACGTGGGCGGCTCTGAAGAGGTAGCTGAAGGGGTAGTAGAGGAGGTTGATGAAGGAGGCTGCGTAGAGGTCTGCATAGCGCATCACCTGGCTGGCAAACAGGGTCTGGCGCGAGCCGCTGCGGAAGAGGCTCCCCATCATCCCGTAGCACATGTCCATGTCGTGGGTCACTTTCTGCAAGAAAGGGCCGTTTGGATGGCTGGGCCAGCGCACAGCGCTGTGGCGCAGACCCACCGCAGCGGCACCGCCACGGAGGGCTCGGCTGCGCGCCACCTACGCCATCTCCAGCATGGGTTTCCTCTGCTCTCATCCCAAAGCGGCAGAGCATGGACCAGTCCCCGCTAACAGAGGGGAAGGTGGCAGCAGAGCCGGGGCCAGCGGCTGCCCCAGGCTGGGATCTCAGCACACAGGGCTGGCTGAACAGAGGCTACGGCCCGCCAAGCCTGTGTGGGTCAGTGCCCAGCTCTGCACCCGTGGACACCTTCTGTCGGCGCTGCTATTTACATCATGAAGGAGACCATTTTCCAGACCAGGCTGCCTTTCAGGAGTGCCCAGTGGCACCGGTGAGCTGGGAAGCTCCTCCATTAGCGTCCATGGACAGATGGGCTTCGCCAAGCCTGCTGTGCCCACCCAAGGGCAGAGCAAAGCATCTCAGGGCTAAGCGGCGGGTCAGGCTGTCAAGCTCTTTGGGATCCAATAGGATGAAAAGGGATTTTATGATTGGTACCTTAATGCGTCTCTGGATGGAGCTGATGTCAGGGCGTTCATTGCTGCTACTGTCCAGATGCCTAGTTACAGGCGAGAAGGTAAATAAAATTGTGTGAAAAGCCTTTCAGAAACAGATGTCATGGGGCAGGGGCTTGGGGAGGGAGGCTGGTCTGGAGGGGAAGGTTGGTCTCGTGGGCAGAGCCCAGGCCTGAGGCAGAGCTCCTGGGCTGCGACCCCCCGCCCCAGAGTTAGTGAGAGCCGCTCGTTAGCTGGGAGAGGCAGCAGGAAAGCGCTCGGTGCTTGAACACTCACTTGTAGAGCTCCGCCAAGAAGATGTCCAGACTCTGCAGCTCTTCAAAAAGGGCTGGATAACACAGGAAAGAGAGCGAGGGGAAAAATGGTAAGTGTAAACTGTTGAACTGAGAAGGGAGAGAAGCCAATCCCGCAGGCTGCCCTTGCGTGGCTGTGCTGGAGCAGTGCACTGAGGGACGGGGCCGTCACCGCACAGGGAGAGGGGTCAGGCGTGCTCCGTGCCACAGGCAGAGCTCTGCCCTTGGTTTCTTGTTGCCCCTTTTATTTTAGAGGCTGAACCATCATAACCACCACAGAAATCTTTCAACCAGCACGAAGCAACTGGCATAATTCCCCCTTAATTCTCTCCAAAGTGCAAACTGGGAGAAAAGCAGTAGCCTGAAGGATGGGAACCACACAGCACTGGCAGCAAACCGGCAGAGGGAGCAGGAGAAAGGTGGAGGAAAGGGCTGGCGAGCAGGGTGGTCTCCCTGCAGATGGGATGACAGGACAATAACCCAAGTGCCAAGACGGATACTTTTTTTAACCGAAGTCACAGAGAGCTGTTACAGAAGTCACAGCTCTGCAAGGCCAGAAGGAAACTGCTTTTGGGGCAGTTACTACATGAAACTGCAGGTTTGGTCACCTCTCAGCTGATCATGGGCACAGGGCCCAAGAAAGGGCAAGGCCTGAGTCCCTGTCACCAGACATGGGGAGCTGCCCAGGGGAGAAGGGCCAAAGGGAGAGGTGTTGGGTCGGAGAAGCAACAAGCCAGGATGATTCCCAGGGATTTCGGAGAGCTGGAGCAGCACTGGGCAAGCGAGAGCAAAGCCTGGCACAGGGTTTGCTTGGCTGCTGACCGCTTTTGTCAGTCCAGACGTGCAGCTCCTGGGCCAGCTCGGGGATCACCAGAAAGGTCCTCCAGCCCTGTCGCTTCTTGGATTTGAGGATATCTCCAAAGATGTGGTCTCCAATGTACAGAATGTCTTTGCCTTTGGCCCCCAGCAGGTCACAGACTGTGTCCGAGGAGCCTGAGAAAAGAGGAAGAGGGTGGCTCAGAAAGGGGACCCTAAGGGAAAGGTTTGGCTTATATTAGAGCTAATTATTAGGGTAAGGGACATGGCAGTTGCATTTTCCTTGAGGAAACATTTCCCATTAAATGAATCACTGCTCCTTGGACACAGTTCTCCCATTCCAAGCCCAGCCTTGGCACCCCCCATACTCTCCCTGGCAAGGAGGAAAAAGGCTTTCCAGGAGAGTCATCTCCATTTCTTTGCTCTGGGCAGCCAGGGAGGTGAGACGCCTCTGGTGCACGCTGTGCTTTGGCAAACGCCCTTGCCAGTGCCTGGCACAATGTCCTCCCACAGCCAGAGCGACTGCGGGCCCTCGGGACGGGTCGGAGCCGCGCGTGCCTCACCTCCCGAGTACACGATGCCGTGCTGCAGCGGGCCGGTGTAGGTGCCGATCTTCAGCTTGCCGGTCACCTGGGGAAAGGGATATTGCTTTGGTGAAGGACAGCTGATGCTCCGGATGTTTTATGTCCCACTGTTTCCTTGCTCTCTGTCTCTCCCTCCCTAGGCAACCCAGACGGAGCTCTCCAAACTCATTTCCTATTGCTACCTGCAGTACATTAGAGGAACCTCAAGCCCTCCTGTGTCCCAGATGAGGAGGTTGCTTGGGAATCACTATGAGGAGAAGCCAGCCCTGCTGCTTTAGGGCAGGTCCAGTTTAAACATGGCACTGCCTGTTCTCCCTAAGGGACACAACATGGGAGTTTTTCTTTCTAGCAGTGCATCAAGGGGGAGGTTGCATCAGTGGAGCTGGTGGGTCGGACTAGATGATCTCTAGAGGTCCCTTCCAAGCCTAAATATTCTGTGTGATTCTGTGATCAGGTCTACCAGCCATAACAGCACCCTCTGATCGCCACCCACCGTGTCCACCTGCCGCAACACGGTGCCTTCCCCAAAGAAAAGGGGTTTTCGGGCATCCACCAGGATCAGGTCGAAGTAGGACTGCCATGGCCGATGGGCACTCCCAGGCTGCAAAGGCAGAACCCAAGTTAGACAAGACATAAACAACCACACGGATTTAACTTGCCCATAGCCACCACCTTGTGACATTGCTGCTTCAGCAAATGCACCAGTTTCCCCAGCTAGCACAAGGGGGAGGCTGGGTTGCCAGTGCCATCTCCAGCAGCATTTGTGTTTTGCAGGCAGGACCATCCCAAACCAGCCTAGCTGCAGAAACTGGGGATGTGGTATGAGCTGAGAGCTACGTTAAACATCTAGGTCGCAGCACAGCTGCTGCACACAGAAATGCTCTTCTGTTTCTGTGGATGACATCCTACACTGATCCAGACACGTGCAACCACACAGCTTCAGCCTTACAAGACCATGTAGGCACATTTGTCCAAGGCAGGAAAATTCCTGGGCCTGCCACAGAGCACAGCTCCACACCACGGCCCTACCCCTCGGACACTGCAGGCTCAGGAATCTTCCTTTCTCTGGGCTTCCCATGTTTGTGAGACCAAGGACACGGCAAGAAGCTTTTTCAGTTATCAGTTGCTGTGTTTTTTTCTTTTTTTATTTGGAAAACTGCTCCCTTGGCCACCTTCTACCTTAAGAACACAGTATGAAAACACATCATCTGAGTGCAGGATGGTCTGCCAGTGGGAGACTGGGAAAGGCTGGTATAAATTCAGTTCATAAGAACTTTTGTTTCCAAAAGTTTCAGGGCCAAGATTTGACATCAGAAAAACAGGAAAAGAATGACTGAAACTCTTGAGTTACCACAGTCAAAGCACAATTGTGCTAAATATTTGTGCCAGTTTATGAAACTTTTTCATTTTAAATTAATATTTTTAAACAGTAACTAAAACACTGTGCAAGATTAGTAAGAAACTTGGCTGCAAAATGCCAGATTTAAAATGTGTTGTCACTAAAATAACACTACCATTAACACAGATTATTGTTTCAAACAGATGATGCCTCTTTTCTCTTTGCTGCATTGTATTTGCTCTGACCCTATTCAAACAGGACACTAAACAGTGAGTGTGTTTTAACCAGATTAAAGCAACTAATCCCATACAGCCGATGAACCAGGATTAAAATGCTTTCCAGCTACACAGATAATTAGGCACATTAATTCCTAGCAGAACTGCTGTCTAGCAATAACATACCTTTGGTCCATGTGGAAAGTCAAACAAGTAAGTCATAATTTTCTGAAAGACACAGAGAAAGCATTCAGGGATTTGTTTTTAAACATACATTTGTGACATTTATAAGAACATATTTTTCTCTCTTCTTCTCAGGCTAAATAACTTTATTTTTTAGGATGTTTAAGAACCTTATCATAACATTTGTGGCCAAAATTAGTGTATAGTATGTACAATGACAAGAGTTAAACAGTAATTCTATAATCAAGAACACATTTATCTCATATCTGCAGGCTGCTTCTAATATAATTTGCAGCACTTTAAAATTGCATACACATCTTCAGCTTAGCCACATAGCAGTATTTTGACAGACATCAGACTCTAAGGAGCTGCCCTCATGCCACCAGCACACCAGCCCCTTCTAGCTCTTAAACTCCTCTGGGCTCATGGGTTTGGTCACCTGTCTCTCCTCAGAACAACCTCATTTGATAGGGAAGATGTGCATTTTAAAAGATGCTGAAATTTAAAATGAGTAACATTTTCAGCCTTGCAACTGCAGAGGAACTGAGGCACAGGGGGCTTAAGCCCAGCCAGCTAGGCCAGTAGCAGAACCAGGACTACAAAACAGGACCTTCAGCACCTAGTTTGCATCCACCATTAAATCATCCTACACTTAGCTCAGAAAGCGCCTAATACCCCATCAGAGGATGCTCTACCAAACCCTGCAGCAAGCAACAGCTAGCCCTGTTTCTTCCATGATTTACGGACCCAGCACTGTAGGCAGCACTTACGTCTGTGTACTTGTAGTCGCTGTTTGTGACCAGGAACACCTTGCCAACTTCATTCATGCGGCTGAGCAGCAGAGGCAGCTTCCCCTGAAAGTCACACACAAAAGTTACAGAGATCCATCCCAGGGAAAACACCGCTCCACTGTGATCCACTAAAGAAATCACAAAGCCAACAAATGTGCAAACAAACTGGCACATTTTGCACTGGCTAGAGAGACAGGAAAACTGCTGATCCACCTGGGACCCCTCCCAAGCCAGGCCTGGGCAGGAAGGCAGGGGGAGCAGCTCAGCAGCGCTGCGGTGCCTTTGCCAAGGGCCACCCCGGGCACCCGGGCTGCCTCCTGCCCATCTGCTCTGCACCAGGCACCCTGGAGCAGCCCCTCCAGCTCCCAGCCCATTCCTGAAATGGGCCCAGAAGCAGGTGAAATTTGAGCTCCCAGGAACTACAAGTTGGAGCACATTTTAATTCCAACCTCAAATTAGGGAGTATTTATTTCTGGAGCTATTTTTATTGAATCATAAATCTCAGTTTATTGCGAGAGGAGCTGAGTACCTCACAGCACAGTTTCTTAAGGATTTTGCAGGCATGTAACTAGAAACGAGGTTAACTGCTTTAAAGTGATACTCCACTAGGAGAGGAGGAGCCCACAGCATTCATTTAAATAGAAGAATAATTTTAAGGCCCTCCACATCACAAAGAAAAGCAAAAGTAAGGGAACAGTGGACAGCTTACTCAGTTGGAATTGCCAAAAACACATTTTGGGACTATCAAGAGACTTGGATATTGGTTGTTTGAGATCTCTCCCTCAATTCCTTATGGTTAAAAGCGTGAAGCACTTTTGTGCAATAGCTAAAGAATACTCAAAGATGCTCATTTGTCGCTTTTAAAGGAGAGATCTGTGGTAGAAGGATTGCTATGGCAGAGAAAATGTTCACTGGGGATCAGAGTTGCTTTCACCACCAAAAGAAACAACACGAGCCTTGCAACACATTCACCTATACCCCATGCTAACACATCCTCTGGCTTTTATACTTTACGTAAAAAATGCACGCGTGAATACAAAATCATGTGGATCACTGGCTCAGAATAAAGGCTGTGTCTGAACTTTCCACTTTGTCTTCAGTTATTACAATAGAAATCACAGCGCTATCTGTTTTGTGATTTAGTAAAGCAAATCAGCATGTTTATTTTCTTGCCTGCTTACTCAGTATAGAATGTCACATAGCATAAGTATAAGTAACCTCGCACTTACATCTTTCACCACATACTTTTCCAGATTCTCGAGGGTCTTTTCCTTGAGTGATCCCTGAAATAGAAACAACAGAACCCAGTGAGCTCATGCAAACTTATGATGTAAGAGACATCAAAGTAATGCCAACTTTCACACTTCAAAATGCTGTGAAAGTACAAACCAGGGCGAATCTGAACCAATGACTCTAGAGATGAGAGGCTTTGAGTAGCAGGGACCATCACAGTGATCCATCGATTCCCTCACCATGGTAAATAATCCACTTCAACAGCATTTTAACCCTTTCAGAAGGGAATACAATAGAAACAAAAAAAATAGATTTGCCATACCAAACAAGACAGTCAATGACTTGTCTCCAACACTGATCATAATGCTTTACTCAAAGGCCAAACTCCAGCACGTATCACACAACACTGAACAAGGAAAGAAAAAACGTTCCCTGACTTCTGCATGGCTGCAAGCATAACTGTGAGCAGAGCTGTCCTGGGACGGTTCTCCATCCCACCCCTAAAGGGCCTCTTGAATAGGACAGACAAGAAAGTCAGGCCTCTAACCAGATGTTAATGCTCACAAAAAGTCTAAAATCTGTGTTTGAGTGCAAGTGTGCAAGAAAGATGAACTTCCTCTTCTCTCTCAATAGAGAAGAGTTGATGAAATTCTCTGTTTAAATCAGGCACTTTTTAGACAATATAAGGTATTATGAATGTAATCTATTTACAGTAAAATCACTGTTTTAAAAATTAGGACAGCATACAAGTTGTCAGCTGTAAGTGCAAACATCCTAATGGGATTGCCCTCTTAAGCCCACGAATTACAGAAATGTAATCTAGATACCATAAAACCCACGAATTAAAGTACAGAAATGTAATCTAGATACCATAAAAGGCACAGGAAGCCAAGACGGATATCCTCCAGCACCAGGCAGGCAGTTGAGGTCTTGACTCACTGACATACGACTGCAATTTATTATTTGTTCACTAGGCGGCAAAGCAGGGCTCCTGCCCAGAAGTGGAATGACACATCTTAATTCAAGAGTTGCAAGCCAGTCCCTCTAACTGAACAGTGAGAACAAGAATGGCAAGGAGTTTCTGCAATCACCTTGTAATGAACCCAGTCAACAGCATCTCTGACGTCCTGGAACATACTCCTGAAGGACATGAAGAGGTCTCCATCTTTGAACCCTGTTTCACAGCTGTAAGGCAAAAGAAAAGGGATTATTTGTGGCAGCCAATTGCAGTAGGAAAGAAACAAGTGTTGTGGGAGCAATGCCAAGGAGATGGATGATTCAAAACGGTGTTTGGAGCTTGTATTTTCATCTTACAGCAACAGTCTCTTCTTTAATCCTTTATTGCAGCTCAGGCTTGAAAGAAGGCTCCAACCAGAGTTTAACAGGGTCTCTGTGTTACCCAGCTAAACACTCTTCATTCACAGTTTTAGAATGTGAGTCATAACTACTAACCTGTGCCCCCACAGCAATACTATAGCTTTCTATGACTGCAACTCTTACTTCTCCCTCTCAGTATTACAAGAACAAGAAAGAACAATCAAGTGCACGGATCACTTCCATTTTAAGAGAGACTGAAATACTGGGGCCAGGCAGTTTGTGGTGTTTTACAAAAGATGAATGCTACAGAGGATGTAAGCAGAGTGCTGCTATTTATCCCTTATTCCAACACTAAAACGCAGATGCCATGGAAATCAACTAAATGCCACATTACTGAGAGGAGGAACTGCTTGTTTGTTAAACAGTAAGAGTTAACCTGAGCAATCACTACTACAATACACCATGGAGAGTAGGCATTAAAAAGAATCGTGGAGGGTTAAACAGAGATGTATCTATCACGACTGCAATTACTACAGTTAATGACTGGCTTAGGCCCTATCCAGGAAGGGAGTAAGGAAGAAATGGCTCCAACGGACAGCTGATCCTGTAATTGCCCAGTTCAACTCCTGGCTGTTACTGAAGAAAGGATACTTAACCTCATGGACTAACCGTATAAACCAAATCACAGTTTCGGTGTTCCCATACAAAACCCCATTCAACCTTTGCCTTTCAATCACATAACACAGGAAGATGACCCAGCATTTATCTTAGCAGTGCTGCAGTATTCAGATCTACCTGTTCAAAATGTAGCTTATTCTTAAGCTTGAATGTATTTGAAAGCTAGATAAATACTTACACTGCACATATAATCCTTTGAAACAAACCATATCTGACTATTTCAGTTACTTTGCTCAGATTGAACAAAGTTCTCAGTCGTGAAATGAGGGACTCGCAGTAACTGGCTGAGGAAATGGAGTCTTTCAGTTACCAGTTCAGACACAGCTCCAATGCATGTGACTTGAAAACGTGCTGTCTGGTGGCTGCTATAACCCTGTAGTATGTGGTCTTAGGAGATAGCCCCAAATACCAGTAGCAGTTAGGGTAGTAACAATGGTACAAATATATATAAGGGACACCTTCATAAGCAGTCTCAGCTGTACCCACAGATCATCTCATCAGGAGTAAATTTACTTAAAATATCAAATGAAGAGGCCTGAGCTTTTCCCCACAGGAATCATATAGCATTATAACAACAATCTCACTCTATCTTCAGCTACAGAGTATGTGGTCTTAGGAGATAGCCCCAGATACCAGTAGCAGTTAGGGTAGTAACAATGGTACAAATATATATCAGGGACACCTTCATAAGCAGTCTCTGCTGTACCCAGTACCTCTGCTGTACAGATCATCTCATCAGGAGTAAATTCACTTAATATCAAATGAAGAGGCCTGAGCTTTTCCCCACAGGAATCATATAGCATTATAACAACAATCTCACTCTATCTTCAGCTACAGCAAACAGGAGAGAATACGTACCTAGTGTACCTGTCACAGTTAGTAAAGAAGTCTACTAGGCAAGCCAACAGGTAGGTCTCTGTAAGGAAACAAAGCAGAATTGTAAACAACGATACCATCACGAGGCCAGATAACTTTGGGCTCTGGCCTGGAAGAATGTTCACACAAACAAAAAGAAATCAGAGCGGTAAGTCCAGTAAGACATTAGCAAAGCTTTGCTGCCTACCAAGATGGAAACAGGCCCATGTCGGCTCACATGAGACTCACCTGGTAAATTGAACAACGTGTTCAGAATGTAAAATCTGTCTGTGTCATCCCTCTGGATAAATTTATTTGGATATTGATCCCGGGTTTCTGGCCTGAGAACAGAAAAGGTAGAGAAGAATGAATCCACAATAAAACTACAACATGCTGAACTGCAGAATGTAGTTGTAGTGGGGTCCATTAACTTGGGTTTTCATCAACACTCAGCTTTCCAACATGTGCTACTGGTGCAAGAGCAAAACTGAACCCACCATGTGTTCCCTTAGCTGCACTGGCCCCAGCAGAGCCAGGCACAAAGTCCTTGTGGTGGAATCAGCAAAACGAGCAGAGCCAACACAGGGAAACCGCGCGGTCAGGAGTCCACTACTCGACCTTACACCCCGTGCTGCTGACTAGGGGTATGCCTGAAATCATCTGCACTTTCATTGTTTGCTTATCTTAAACTTTCCTCCACTTTCCACTCCCCCCAAGCTGCTTGCAGCAGGTGAGTGCCTGGCTGTGCTGCAGATTCCCTCGCACAGGAAGAGCGCAAAATCGAGAAATGCTGCAGGAAACAGCACAGCATGCCTCACTTCTGACAACCGCATGGTCAGAAAAGCTTGTTCCTTGCCCAGGCAAGCTCAAGGCTTTGACCTTTCTTAGCAATGACGGTGGAACTGCGTGGGCTCACAAGGTGGAGACTCCTCTCTGCTCCAAGCAGACCTCACACGACGATGCTGGTTTAACTAACAAGCTGCTAATGCTAAGCTATGCCAGCTCAGGTATAAAGCTGAATGATTCCTGAGGATCAGTGACACAGAAAGACTTATGAAGTCAAAAAGAACAGCCAAAAGGCAGCACTCACCCTCTCAGGAAATTAAAGCCATGTGCGCACACTAGAAGGTTCCCATAGGCATCAACTTTCAACAGGTTTCCATAGTGGGTATCGAACACCAGGCCTCTGTTAAAAAAGTGATTTAGGATATGAAGAAGTGAGCAGATCTTTCCAAATCAGCTTGCTTACTTGCACGGGAATGTTAGAACATAATAGCTGTTATTATGCTGACAGGGTCCTTATTGTACCTTTTACCTGGCTGCAGGGAAATCGAGAAAGATCTGCACTGCCAGGTGAAAAGGTACAAGTGATCTGCTCTCTTGAAAATGGAACCATTTAACTCAGCAGAAATGCAGCTCTGCATTTACCAGAGCAGACAAGGACCTCTTAAAGGGGGTCAAGAATTTGACACCCGTGCTTGCGGTTCCCTAATAGCCTCTCTGGGCTGCAAGGAAGAGCTAGCTGGGATAAGGGAACTTCTCCTTTCCTTTCCATCTCTGTCACATACAGGGCATGTAACTATGGCACAAAATGTTTTGGACAGTCCCGGTCCCAGCTCAGGCAAAGCTCTGTCTCACTTATCTAGTAGCTTCCCACAGAAGCATCCCTTCCTTCCCCTCCCTGGGTTGAGAGCAGTGGATTTGACAGACTCTTCATCGCAGGTCATGAAGGGCTCCCCTCTTCTTGCTCAGGGTGTGGGAACACACAGCAACAGCCTTGGCATAAATCAGCCTGAGAGGAGGGAAGGGAAGGAAGGAGGCTGCAAGAGTGAGGACTGGAGCACCAAGCCAGCAGACCTCGTGGTCCAGTCTTTTGTAAAGACTCCAAAGGAGCCAAGAGAGCAAAATACAGCAAGGGCACAAGTGGAAACATCTTAAAAGGAACAAAATTAGATTTCTAGACCTGTTTATGATGTTTTTTATTTTTTCACCTCTGCTAACAAAAGACAAAGTGTAAGGATTCAGTAACTCTCCACCATTAACTTTGCTTTTGGCATTTCCTTCCGGACAAGGCAAGGGGACCGATCCCACTTTTATTGATATTTACAGTCACTTAATTTTCTTATATATCAAGGACACTGGAGTGTTTGGTTTGCCAATATCAGAGGAAAACATTACATTTAAAACCATTAAAGAAAAATGTTCTGAGACATCCTAGCAGCCTCATGGACATCAACAGCTTCTTATACCCAAGCATCGACTGGACTGAACTCCCAATCCGACTGTGTCTTTGCTGTCTTTGCTTTGTAAGATTATTTCTGGACCACATTTTCAGCAGGCCTCTTTTCCCACACGCCCCCTCTTTGCTGGCATGGCCTCGTGAGCGCAAAGGCCCCCGCACACTGGAGGAGTCTGCTCCCTTCCCCAAGATCCATGGACAACCACAGGCCTCAGAGGCACATTTCTGAACGCCTGGCCTCAGGTGTTGCCTATGAACTTCATAGAACAAATATTCAAGGCCTCAAACAGGCTGGGTCAGTATCTGTTAGTCATTTACCTGGTAGGGAATGCAGGATCATACACAAAATTGAGCAGTTCATGAGGGTATCCAATGGAAACTAATCTTTCTACGGTCAGGTCAAATCCAAGAGATTCGTATTCAGGGGATTTATACACTGTACCAAACGAGATTTCAGTTAGAAAATTTGCAAACAACTAGGGGGTTAAACAAGAAGGCAATTAAAAGTAACGCTCCCCTTGGCCCTCCTCCCGCCTCCACATCCACACGCCCCTGCGCCTCCTGCCCTGCTCTGCCTTGGCCTCCCCAGCCCCAGAGCCACCGTGGAATTAGCTCGTGCTCCGGGAGGGCAGCCGAGCAGAGCCGCGCTCGGGCCCTCAGCCGCCGAGAGCGCTGCAGGAATTATCCCCGAGTCCAGCACGGCTCCCTGCATCACGGAAAAGGCATCTCAGGCTGCAGCTCCTCTCCCTGAAGAGCCATTACGCAGCTGCACAAGTGCTCCTTGCTCCACCCACTCAGACTGGGTCTTGTTTTGCTGTGTTTTCTCAAAGCTGGTAGAGAAACCAACAAATTTCAGGAGCAAACGTGTTCATGATTAGAAAGCCTCAAATTCCTCACTGCTGTGCTACTGTTACTGCTCTGGATACAGTCCCAAAGCTCAGCACTATCTCCAGGTTTCATCTAAGGGAAATTCGTTTGCTACACACTGCTTTAGCTTGAAGGTAGAGCTGTCAAGTTAACATATGATTTTTTTTTAGTAATAGCCTATGGTTCTATAATCTGTTGGCTATTACCCTTGTGCATCACAATGCTACTCTTCTCTGCAAGCTGACTCTTCTCAGCTCAGAGGAGCTGCTTGTCTGTGCTATGTACCTTAGCCCAATGCAAAAGAAAGAGGTTTCTTCAACAGAGCCACTTCTATCACCAGGCCTGTCTTCTTTCTGCAAATGACCTTTTCCTGCACTGGAAATGTAACTACTTAATGAGATCGTTATGAACTTTAAAAGGAAATCGTTGTGATTGTATGACGGATGGAAATCACTGCATTTCTGTGATGGTGTGCTTACATTTGCTGCATGTTGCTATCTTAAATTTGGCCCTAAAAGGTAACAAGATCAAATATAACTCCTGTTTGACATGAGGGTTATGTCAGTGAGCCAGACTGCCTCAAACAGCTTCAAACTGCCTCGAAAATTTCAAACTTGGCTGAGTAAAATATATAAACGTGCAATTGACACAGGAAGCTCTTTAAAGGCCAACTGCTTTCCTGACAGACATCTAGCACATCTGTGGGACTCACAATACAGATTAATGCACATTTTCTGTAACAGCTAGGTAACTACTATTATATATATATGTGTGTATATATGCTGTGAAATACAGAGACTCAGTCTAAAAGGACAAAACGAATATATCAAAATACTGCAAAAATACTAAAAAGGTAAGGGCTTTGGAAGAAATGAGATTGTGAAAAGACTCAGATCCCAGTAACCGTGACAGAGGGCTCACTTCTCCCAAGCATCCAAGTGGCCTCTGCAAGCCAAAAAAAACCCCCAAAATTCAAGAGTTGTTTTTTCTTCCTAAAGGGTTAAATAATTAAAAACGCAATAAACAATCTCATAATATTCTTCAACAGATAACTAAAAATCAATAAAGTTGAGTATTTGAGTATTATGATACTAGTGGCAAATATCAACATTGTACAATACTCAATGCACATAACCTTTCCCATCCTCTGGTAAAGGAAAAGGTTGACTGAGCTGTAGATAGGAAGAAGTGATCAAAAAAACCACAGCTCACAAACAAAGCAGTAACTGACGAGGCAATCCTGGGGAATGAGCTGGAGTTTGAGGAAGCAAAAGACAGTTAGGTGATGATCAACACTGAGAGAATGACACCAGACCATCGTCTGGAAAAAAGCAATTCTTCGGATGCAGGAGAGCAAAGGCACTTCCCAGGGAAAAGGGCAATAAATACACCTGCACGTACTCTTAGATGGTAAGAGAGGTGCAAAACTGCCCCAATTACCAGCCTCCAATTACCAACTGTCTGTGAAGCTGCTGCATTACTTCTCATTAGTTTCCATGACCAGGCTGCCAATCTATCCCCAACACATCATTTCCCAACAAAATGCTTCTTCCTGCTCTTTCTGAACTCAGTCACCACTGCAGTCCTGCCCAGGCATACAAAATCTTTAGTGGGTGGTGAACAAATCCAGCAGAAACATTTCCAGGGAAACTACAGGGCTTTCTGTCAAATAACCTATACACCTTGTTAATGCTCCACCCGAGAAAGTGTTTGGTGGGATGTGTGTCCAGCTGCCCTGCTACACTTCTCTCCCCATTTTTGACTCATCATTACAGATGTCCTTTAACTCTTTGTGCCTCAAGAAACAAGCTGAAAGAACAAGCTGAAGAAGAGATGTTGGTCTCAGCCTTCACTATCACAAGTCACTGTTGAGGCAATAAATACCACAAAGTTTATCTCTATTTTCCTTTTGTAGGGCAGTTTTCCCCCTCTACCCCTCAAGCTCTGGATTTCAATTCCCAATGTCTCTTTGAATAAAATTAAGCTACAAGCTCACTGATACTTCTGTTTTCTTCCACATTTTTCTATCTCTACAATACTCAGAAAATAAGAACCTTCCCAATAACACATCAGTTGAACAGGGATACTGGAAACGGGACTCCTGGAGGCTGGAAAAGGACAATAAACTTTGTTCTTCAGTTTACTCTGATAATTAATGTCCAAGATAAACTTCCCTTTAACTGGACACACTAATGAGAAGAGATTTGGAGCTCAGTGAGCCCATCTTGACAGAGCTCCCCAGCACAGCACACGCCGTAACCACCAGTCCAAGCCACTACCCACTGACATTTCTTGTAAGCTGTGCAAAAGCCTGTTTCAGGAACATGAGCTTCCAGGCAAATGATCCACCTCCTTGAGATCAAGTGCAAGCAGGTTAATGCTGCTGCAAGCAAATACAACCACACGCACAGGCAGGATGGCCCTGTCATAGGTATTACTAGATAATTTCTCCCAGATGAAAAAAAGTTATCTCAATATTGTACTGAGGGCTGGTCTCCCTCTCTTATCTTGCTTAGCTCAGGCATCCATGGAGAAACAAAGCAGAGAGGACAGATCAATACTTTTTATCTGCGGCTCAGCTGAATGATGAAAAAAATCACTTTTCTGGAAATTCCCCCTCCCAAATCCTAGTTGCTGAGACCACAACTGGACATAATTTGTAGGGCACGGTGATGCCGTGAGCTTAGATGTTTGCCATGCAGCATATCTTGTGCTCAGCTTGTTCACCCAGCTGAGACGGACCATCTCTCCAAGCACCCAGGACAGTGTGACAGGTGAAATAGGCACAGCCACAAAACCACAACTGATCCACATTCATGGCCTCCTTGCGTGTTCTCTGAGCCCAACACACACAACGATGACAGTGAAACAGAAGCACGTGTTACCGCTTATTTTGATTTCTTTTCGCTTTCTTAGCAATCGGTGGCCATGACTCTGCCACTGTCCCCAGCTCTAAAGGAGCAAGTTATTTTAATAGTCTGTGTTCCAAAACAGACGAATGCTTCAGTGGTTCAAGGCAATGAGTACACAGTGTTCACGGGTTATGTAACCATGGATTGAAAGAGAACAACCAAAGCTTTAAAAAACACAAGGCAGTTGACAGCATTTCAGCTTCCCCTTAACATCATCACTTGCCATAAAATTATGCTATTGGAAGTCAAAAAGCAGTATCACAGGAGTGAATGTTGCAAGCCTTTGGGTCTGTGGTGAGTGTGGGCTCCCCTCACACGGTCCGTGCGAGGAGGGAAGCCAATCGAGAATGGGTTGTGCAGTAAGGTATGCAATTCTCATGCACTTTTGTGGTTGTTTTTACCTTGGTGCCAAGACACATACGGTAACAATTTTATAGCCTACCTGAAAAGGAAAAATTAAAAAAAAAATCCCTACAGAGGCTCCAGTTTAAGCAAAATGCTGCTGCCAGGATTTTAACTCACATGAGGCAGACGCAGATTCAGAGTGTCACTCCAGTCTTGACGGAGTTACACTGGGCTCCCCTGTTAAAGAAAAAAATCAGACTGATTTTAAAACTGCAACAGCTCTGTGCAAGGTGGGACTGTGTATCTGCTGGAGCTCTGTCCTCTGGAAAGCGCAGAAGCCGGCCTGGCAGCTATTCCAAATATACTTACAGCTGATTTATAGAGGAGGCACAGTCGGCTATCGTGCATCCTGCAGGCAAAACTCTGTCCTCTATCCACAAAGCAATTTTAGGTCAGTTCAGTGATATTTAGGAGGAAGAGGTACACTGTCAAAGTGATACAAACCCTTCATGTTTCCATCAGACAACCATTTCAAGAAAGATTCTCCTGCTCTGAGGTTTTGCCATCATTGTACATTCCTCGTTTGGTGACAAATTGCTCCTTTCAGGGCACGCAGTTTCCTTCACACCATGACTGTGTAGACTGTGTCAGCACAGAGGCTCAGAGACTGAGCCAGGAACTGCACCGGGAACCTGAGACTCGACTTGTGCCCTGTGTCCAGGACAGGCTCCACAGGAGCCTGGAGCAGCAATCAGCCCGATGTAAGCGCGCCAGAGTTAAAGCCCTTACTTGAACAGGCACACGCAAAACCATCGCAGGATAAACCAGGAGCAATCCTGCACAGCAGCAGGACATCGCATCGTACCGCTCTGGTCCGCAAGCACACAAGGTAAGAGGGAATCTGAGCTTACAGCTACGCACAGGGAACAGATAGAGCTCTGAGATCAGATTTGCTCTAAACATTCAAGCTGAATGAGTTGGAATGATGTTGGGTAAAGGACCTGCAGAAAAAGCATGAAGATATCTAGGAAGCTTCTCAGAAAATCACTGCTTTTTGCCTTGTTTTGTGGCAAAATCAATGGCTGGGGAAGTCTGTAGTGCATTCTATTGCTCTGTTTGAAGCAGTTGGAAGGAAAAAGCCCTTCAAGGGCTGCATGTTTCTTTCCTTGTTCCCTTTTTGCACACACAAAGATTTCAAATGCAGGTTGGGCAGCTTCTCATTGATAAGGTAACTTGGTTTCTTCCAAGGCTTGTTGACACTTCTTACAAGCTGGTCATAGATCACAGGCGAAAAGCAGGAGCATCTACTTTG